TTTTTTCAGTCTTGAATACTGAAAATGTAATTGAACATGACTTGGAAAATTCCATAGAGGCATGTCTGACATGTTGCTCTGTGACTGTTGTGAAACAGCGTCTAGCCATGTAACCACATCCACGAATGACAGTCATGAAGGTGGTGATTGTTACAACAGCCAACTGAAGAAGGAAGAAACAATAACAGCAAAAAGAGTATTTCCTGGTAAGCTTGTGAATAGGGAGCCAGCTTTTTCTTTTTTCTTTTGCACTGTACTCACAGGTCCAGTCCTAAAGTTGACCCTCAAGGACTCAGACTTTGAGGCACATTCCCAGTGAGTCAGTCTCAGGGCTGTCCTACTGTGAAACTGTCAAGTGCCTGAGGGTTCTCTCACAGAATATTTATGCACATCTTCCGTAAGTCGGCATTTCTGCACACTTACCCACTGTTTATAGCATTGTGATGTGAGTAAACAAAAAAGGATGGAAGGAGCAACCAATCCCAACATTGACATTGACAAGAAAAAATATGTTTTATTGAAAGTTTCAACACATAACTCTCTGCTGAATCCATTTGTATTGCTACGTTACAACATATAGCATAAAGGAGACTATCTGCTGCTGGTGGAGAGTCTCTGACCATATTTCATGCTGAGAGAGTGCATGCACGCCATTGTTGTTTGTGTGTTCATCCATCCATGTGCAAATGCAGAGACGACGTGATATCATCCACTCCACCATCACCAAGCAACAAACTCCTGTCCTGGAGCCTTTATTGTGATTTCTGGAGACTTTAATCCTGCTTAACCGGCCTCTACTCTCTGTGACTTTTATCAGTTTGCCTGCTGCTCCACAAGAAGAACAGGACAATAGACTTCCTTTATGCTAACATGAGGGATGCATGCAGTGTCACCCCTGTGCTCCCACTGAGGAAATCAGATCATAATCTTGTCCTTCTACAGCCTGAGTAAAAGCCACAGGTACAAAGGCTACCCACAACCACACGGTCTTTCAGAAAATGGCCTACAGAAGCAGAGGAGGCTTTGAGTCCACTGACTGGAGTGTGCTGCAGGAAACACACAGCGGGGACATAGAGGGGGTCACACACTGCATTGCTGACTACCTGGACTACTGCATGGAAGTTGTTGTTCCAACCAAAACTATGTGTTGCTTCCCCAACAACAAGACCTTCTTCACAAGAAAACGATGGTGTTCAAAGATGGAGACAGGGCAGAGCTGAAGTGTGTTCAGGGGGAGGTCAAGATCCAGCCAGAGACTTATAGAAGAAAAGTGGAAAAGAAACTGCAGCACAGTCCATGGAGATGCGGTCAGAGCAAACCAGTTCAACCACTTTCTCAAAAGGTTGGATAGTCCTACTCCTTCTGCTGCTACCTGTCCCTCACCTCTCTCATCAAAGACAGATCTTGCCCTCAAGCTACCATCATGGACAGAGCAACCTCCCTCCCCAGGCGGCATGTGGACGAGAGATGCTACGCAGCTGGGCAGACTGGTGAGGAGAGCTGGACCTGTGGTGGGCACCGAGCTGGAATCCTTCATTTCAGTGGCATAGAGAAGGACCGACCCGCTTCACAGCACACTGCACAGGCAGAGGAGCACATTCGGTGATAGACTGCTGTCTCAGTCCTGCTCAACAGACAGAGTGAGGAGGTATTTTATCCCCTAGGACACACGACTGTACAACTCCTCTCAGATGTGGCGAAATGAGAGCGATTAACGCCATAACCATGTCACTGGGCTGCCACACTGTAACATTACTGCCTATGTTTAGCTCTATTTGATTTGATGTATTACTCTTGTACTGTTTTCACTTTTTGTAATACACTTACATCTGCTGTACCATAATTTTACAGGCTTAGTCTAATGCACAACTTTGTATTGCTTCAGTTATTCATCTTAAAATGTGTATTTACAATATATTTGGCTTCAATTCTCATCTATCCATCTATCTAGAGCCTGGAGCATGGTGAGAACAGGCAGTCAGTCCTTCAAGCATTAATTGGTCATAAGGAAAGTGAACAACATAAACTAAAAAGTCCCACTGTTGTCAAATGAAACCACGGCCACAAAAAGCTGTCCTGTTCCTCTTTATACCATTTCAGGCCTTTACTGCCTTTCACACTCAATCACTTACCAGCTGATGTTAGTTAAGTCTGTGAGGGTTCAGGGCTTGAGTCCCGAGGGGGGACATTGGGATTCAGCTCCACAGTAGACACATTGAGCTGTGCCGGACTGCCAGGCTCTGCTGCCAGTAGACAAACTCTGAATATAGCGACTTTTCTTCAAGTATCAGACACATCTTCTGTTGCTTTTGGAATAAGATTCCTGAATGATACACTTTGCTGCCAACATAAGCTGCTTTCAGGCACGTAATGAACTCCAGAGATCCTCCAAACATACTCCAGAGGGGCTGTATGTGTGAACGCAAATGTCCAAGTGAGAGCCTTTAGACTTTCTGCAGACGTCTTATTGATGGGTAAAGTCCGCAGAAAGTCCAGAGGAGCTGATGTGAGAACTCAGCAGGATATCCTCTACAGGATTTAAAGTTAGAGTCTTGATGACATTTCTAACACACAGCAGATATCTGCAGATGCACTGGTGCCACACAAGTATAAGACAACGACAATGGTGATAAGGGCCAAGGCCTGTGTTTATGTGCTGTAAACAGGAACATGTGGTCTCCTAGAACAGAATAAATACATCCTGTCTCTGTCTCTCATCTGAGCATAAGACAATGAAAAAGTCTTGGCTCAATTGTCACGAAGATCCTCTGGAGCTCATGTCTGAAAACAGCTTATGTGTGGTATGGCCATAAATTATATTGACATAAAAATATCCGTATGATATCAATAACTATCACAGTAAATGTCTTTTAAATATTTTTTTTAATGTTTAAAGAAGATGATTTTTGCTCCTGGGTGATGGCTGAATATTTTTATGAATCTGGGGTAGACAGTTATGTGCTACAGCATTGTATTGATTTGATAAAAATTGTTTTGCTCGAACTAATTATATTGTCTTACTGCTAAACACTTTTACTGGTGCACACAGGTGTAGTGTTCTCATGCCGGATCATCGTTCACTAACACATACATAAACAAGAACGTCCCCTAATATTAATAATTTACTGCAACCTAATAAACCCTTTTGACTCTGTCTGAATAGTTCCCTTTGTGCTGTAACTAAACTGCAGCAGCGTTGAGGAGAGACAGAGCACTGAAGTTAATGACGCTCTGAATGTGATACGGTGATGTCAACAAACACCCGGCGTGTGTAAACTGATAGTTTCAGTATGGATCGATTTACTCATAATCTATGATCATCAGGGGACACAACCTGGCACTGTCCAACATATTTGAGAACATACAGGATGTACAGTATATGTAACAGCTACTTTAATGTCAGTATTCCTCTGTGTTCTTTAATTATCCTCCTCAGCTTCTTCACCTCTTAATCATTGTTTCCTTTCTTGTGGTGTGTTTCAGTGACTTGTTTAACAAACTCCTGTGTTGAAGTGATGACAACAATGTGTTGTTCCGCCCTGATCCTCTCCAAATACACCTCCCCATTAATGTGTGCTGATTATTAATGAAGTTAGATTTCAAAAGGAAGAGTTGTATAGCCTGAGTAATGCTTGAATATTGTCTGAGATAATTAACACTCATACAGTTAACCTATAATGGCTCTGTTAATGTTATTCACTTTTCTGTATTCTAAATTATTATTATTATTTTTTTATTTGACTACACATTTTATGGCATGACAAAAAAAAAGACTTCCTTGTGAGACATTTCAAGTGCTCCTCCAAAACTTATACTGGCCACAGGACCCTAAACAAGACAATCCCTCAGAAAGAAAATATACAGAGAGTCTGTTTATGGTTTATCTGTTTTATCGGTTCTTATCAAATATGCATCTGTGGAATGAGCAGGTTTGCATGTTGTGCTTTAATTTAATGCTAACTTCATTGCCACTGGAAGTTTATCGCTTCATACGCTCCCCTTTTACTCAAAAATTTATTTTGCTTAATGTTATTTTACTTTAATGTTTGAGCTTCTCCGTGCAGAATGATGATGATAGTGTATGTGTTGGATCTTTCATCTAAATGTAAAGGTTCAGTGTGTAATTTTTGGCAGAAATTGAGTATAAAATAATCCTAGTGATGTTTTCACTGGTGTGTTCCATCTAAATTTTATGAATTGTTGTTTTCTTTACCCTAGAATGAGCTCTTTATATCTAAAAACTTTATATTTACATTGAGGGGGGGTCCTCTCTGTGGAGGCCGCCATGTTTTTTACTGTCTTCCAAACTGGACAAACTAAAACCTTTTGAGTTTTCATGACAACTGAAGTTCACCACAGATTCTCCTTCTTGTTGGGAAGGGTAAGGTGAGTGGAGTACTCAGCTGCAACATGCAACTTAACCTCTAGATATCACTGAATTCTACACACTGAGCCTTTAAAATGTATTTTTCAATGAGGGTAACGAAGCACTACAGATCATTAAAAACGTGGCTTTCAAAGGGTTGGCTGCAAAATGCTGACTTCTGGTGGGTGGCCACCCACTGACAGGAAACAGTTGGAGATAGCACAGAGAAGGAGCCAGCAGCAGCAATGCTTCGTGGGAATCTCCCACAGAGGTATATGACGTCAGACTGTAAGCTAACAGAGCCCAGTCATAAAACCATAGCATGAGAACCAGAACCCACAACAGTCTGAAGGGACCTTTGGGCTCCACAATGCAGCTGTACTTTAAACCTTTATACCTACTAGTTACAATAACATAATCAGTTCATTGTGTCAAATTTAAATCAATCCATTGTTTTAAGTACAACATGGGATGTACAGAGGGGTGATTTGTTTATTAATTATTTCCTGAAACCTTTGCATGTTTCAAGGCCACAGACTAAGCAGTCCCCACATCTGTTTCCTGTAGATCTCAATCAAACAACACAGACACGCATCACACAGCATTTCATTTCTTGTTGAGGGAAGCACAAAACCATAGCTAAACAAAATTTAATCCTTCATTTACATGACAAATTATGGATTATTACCTTCAGTTTACTTTCAGAGGAGTCTGTATTTTGAGACTACCTCAAAACAACTCATACATTGGTAAAATCTTTCATAACCAAAATCTTTCCATATACGTCAGAAGAATTACAACCAAGTTGGGGCATGTTAAGTCTCAAATGTAATGACATTATAATTACCCATTATTATTATTATTATTATCATTCATCCAAATGAAACCACCACCTACAAAAATACCTGTTTTTCCTGATTATTTTTAATTCTACTGACCTGGTGGAGAGAGAAAATATCTTAAACCATGGGCATATAAACCTAAACTGTCTGCATGGATACGCACTACAACAAAGTAAAATAGTGCCTTTCAGCAAATTGGGTGAACTGATCCTTTAAGGTGAAAGGTATTCATTATAGAAAATCTGATCACAGCCTTTGAAACTGGTTTCTCAAATGAAAACAGTGCTGGTACCAAGTATTACTGACCCAGAGCTGCAATGATTACTGCACTGTGCTTATCCATGCAAGCAGGCAGTGGCCTTCACCCCCCACATGCCTCAGAAGATAGACTTCTGGAGCTGTTAGCCAAAGGTCAAGGTCTGAGAAGATATGGTCTGATATAGAAATTTCCCATGATATCCACAAATATACTAGAACTTATATTGATTAGATAATTACCCGCTGTCTTCTGATATCATCTGACAAGTGATGTAATGAATAAATCACTTTGAGGTCAGAAAATGGCCTCATGTACAGTTCAAAAATGCTTTTTTCCATGTATCCCTGCACCATATACAACTATAGACACGACCTAAAAGCTGATATCGATTTATTTTAAATCGTGATCATATGGTAAGAATGACATCATCATGACATTCCAATGAAGTCAGAAAATGACATCATAGTGTATTAATGCATACTTTTGCTACCAGTAAGAGCTACAGGTTATTTAGATCAACCAACTTTTTGTCATCTTAAAAGTATAAATGGCATCATGAAATCATGAAATAACATCTATTCAACATGAAAAAGTTAGCATTTCCTGACTGGGGTATAAACGCATCACCCCCAGATGCTTCTCACTTAAATTATGTAAAACCTACCCTTCACAGTGGCTTTGAACCTCATTAATATGATCTTATGTCATATTTTGTTCAGCCAACAGTCCAGCATCAATAGAGAATCATTTTCATTACATCTTAAGGTTGTTGCAGATTAATTATCTGTTGATTAATTGTTCTTAAGACAGGTTGGGGATGCCACTGACTGTAATAACTTTTGTCTTTCCTCCAACTTCTCCTCAAGGCACTGAATAATAATAGGGTCCACTTTGGGGTCAAACTTATTTGCGAACCAGTGGCCAAAATTAAGCAGCCAACGCATCTCCGCTGCACCGAAAATGCAGACGCTGCGAACGTGCACCCCAGAGCAAGGTGGGTACAGGTGTTCCTCCAAGTAACTCCACTTCACCAGCCGGGTCTTACTCATCAGGTCAGTGATATCAGGCTCAGATCGGGGCACCTCCCCGGGTACACCTGGCAGTCGCACAAGCGTGGCCCAGAAGTGTTCATCTGGGGAGTAAGTGTCCTCTGACCAGGCTAAAAAATCTTTCACCACCTCTGAGGAATTTATGTGTACAACAAAGTCCTGTGACAAGACAAAATAGGCATTGCCAATGAACATCTTGATCCCGTGAGGTGGTGGAGTCTTTTTCTGCTCGGTCTTCATCGGCAGTTTTTGATATTCATGGGAGATATCTTTCAGCTCGTAATGAAAAGAGTACCTCATTTCCTTATAGCTAGTGGGTGTGCTTGTCTCCAGCATGTTAGCCCCCTTTAACTTGTTTAATTCCGACACCAGCTCAATATTGGACTTGAGGGGAAAATCTTGGCCACAGAGGTTGATGACATACTTCCACTTGACCTCTGACTTCAAAAGGTCAGACAGACAGTTGAGATCAGCTTGCAATCGAGTGATGCTTGCGTAATAGACAGACTCTCGCTTGGAGGCAATGAAGACGTTGGGCAAACAGCTGACCAGACCCTCTATGGCAGAGATGAACTGAGGTGACGACTTCTGGTCGTAGTGAATGCAGTAGATGTTACCAGGTGAGTACAGAGCTTTGATGAGTCTCTCCACCATCCATGCAGATTTGTGCACGACCAGAGAGTAAGCGAGAGGGAAGTCTCTCTCCTCCTCTGAGACACACACTTTGTCATAACCTCTGGACTTGATGAATAATGGGCAGTTTGAGGTGAGGTGAAAAAGACTTTCATCCTTATCCTCCAAAACTTCTTTCCATCGAATGCTCAGAGATTTACCCACTTCCACTGGGTCCATGTCATATATAGCCGGGCAGCTGATATTGTACTTGTGGTATGTCTGCACATCATCTAAACCTGTTGGGGAAGTTGGTGGTTCGGGGATGAAGCTGTACTTTACTTTGACCAGCAGCAGGATATACACAATCAGCAGTGATAGAGGTGAAATCAGGATCTTCAAATTTTTGAGTATTGCAAATCTTCTTCTCATTCTGTGAGAAAGGAGAAAACAAGCTGTGAGGGAGCAGAAGCAGAGAAGAGTGGATGGGACTGTACGGGGCAAACGCACTCACCTTGATACACACGCTTGTGCCGGCCCGCCGAGCGCTTTACAGTCCGTTTCATCAAGTTGCAATCTAAAAGTAAAAGTAAAAAGCAGGACACATTCAGATCGGACACATGTTGCCCCACTAACATGTTAAAAAGCGACGTGATGATCAGCAACTCACCGATGTCAGAAGAAACACTGGATATGGACATTTGTCCTCAGTGCCGTCCCACTTTTACGCACGACTGCGGCTACATCTGTTGTCAGCATCAGTTCTAAAACACATCGCTCCTCAAATCCGTCCGCATTCCATCAGTACGTGGAAATCCAGAGTTTAAAGATGTGAAGAAGGGAACAAACGCTGTGAACCTCAACTCGAGTTGTGTCAGCTTCTTGCGAGTACAGCATAAGCCGGAAAGAGGAGGGAGGGGCTCGGGGAAACTGCTCTCTGCTCAGCTCTGATGTGACAGAACAGAGCTGTAAAAAAATGTATCTTGGTTTTTCGTATGGCTGCGCATGTTTGATTAGATAGATAGACACGTTGTAAAATGGAAAAGCGAATGAAGATTTTTTTTAAAAAGCGCAGAGTCACGAGTCTGGAGTCGTCTGTTGCCACAACATGAGAGAAGTTAAAGTAAAGCAGAGGCGTCCAGAGATCATTTCAGAGAGTTGAACAGGTTTTCTCAACCTGCAGAGCAAGATCACCCCTGTGAGATGAACTGACTCCAGCAGGGAATGTCCACGAAACCCACTTCAATCACTGAGGTCACCCACGTCAGATGGCGCGTCTGCGAGAGAGAGGCATTCAGAGAGAGTTGACAGCTAAAATAGTTTTTCCACACACGTCGACTTTAAATAACAAAGTGTGGTGGAGGCAACTGAGCAGGCCCGGTTCTAGACTGGTCAGACTGGGGG